TATACTATATATATATATATATATATATATATTGAGTTTTTCATACAAGAGAAACCATGCAATTTTTAAGCTTGTGTATCTGAGTTCCTTCACTTAACTTTATGTTCTCAAGGTGCATCTATTTTCCTACACATGACTCGAGCTTAACCTTCTTTATGGCAGAGTAGTGCTCTATTGTGTATAAATACCACATTTTTTATCCATTCATCTGTTGATGGATCTATAGGCTGTTTCCAAGATTTAGCTGTTATGAATTGCACTGCTATAAACATGGGTATGCATACATCACTATGGTATAATGTCTTTAACTCCTTTGGGAAGATACCTAGAAGGGGAATAGCTGGGTCAAATAGAATTTCTACTTCTAGTTTTTTGAGGAATCTCCATACTGATTTCCATAGTGGTTGTTTCAGTTTATAGTCCCACCAACAGTGGAGAAGGGTTCTTCCCACAGCTTCAAAAACATTTGTTATAGGTTGATTTCTTGATGATAGCCATTCTTTCTGGAGTGAGATGGAATCTCAGTGTTGATTTAATTTGCATTTCTCAAATGACCAGTGATGTTGAACATTTTTTCATGTATTTACCAACTCTTTGTACTTCCTCAACTGAGCAATGCCTGTTCATTTCAGATGCCCTTTTTTAACTGGGTATTTAAATTTGGGGGATGTATTAGTTCTTTATATATTCTAGTATTAGTCCTTTGCCTGAGGAGTAGCTGACAAAAACTTTTTCCCACTCTGTAGGTTGTCTCTTCACTCTTCATGTTTCCTTCACTGTGCAGAAGCTTTTTAATTTGATAGCCATTTGTTGATTCTTGATATTATTTCTTGGGCAGCAAGGGTTTTATGCAGAAAGTCTGTCTACACCTATGTCTTCAATAGTTTTACCTATTTTGTCTTCCAGCAGATTGTTTCTTTTCTAGTGTTTAGATCTTAGATCTATTCTGATTAGCTGGAGTTGTTTCTGTATCTTCTGTTCCATTGATCCACAAGTGTGGTTTTTTGTTTTGTATTGTTTTGTTTTATTTGCCAATACCATGCAATTTTTATCACTGTAGCTTTGTAGTATACCCTGAAGTCTGGGATTGTGATGCCCACTGCCTTGCCTTTGTTGCCCAGAATTTTTCCATCCTAGTTCTCTTCTGTAGAGCCCACCCCGCCCCCTTTAAGACATGTTCTTGTTATGTTGCCAAAGCTACCCTCAATCCCCTAGGCTTAAGCAATCCTCCTGCTTCAGCCTTCTTAGTAGCTGGGACTACAGGTATATGGCACCCAGCCTAATTCTTCTGACTTTTCCATCATCAAATAATACTCTTTTCTTGTTTGATAACTTCAAGGACTTCTTTTTAAATAACTTTTTCAGTAGAGACTGTGCCCCTATTATGATGAAATATATTTGTTTAAAAAGAACCATTTCCAGTCTTTATTATGTTTAGATTTATGATTTATAGAAGAAAGTTACTATTGTGTTTGTTATGAGTTGAATTTTGTCACTAAATAAGATATGTTGAAGTCCTAGCCCCCAATACTTGCCAATGTACACTTATTTGGAAATAGGATTTTCATAGGTATAACTAAATTAAGAACAAGTAACACTAGGTTAGGATGGGCTGTAATTACAGTGACTAGTATTTCTATATGGAGACCATGTGAAGACAAAGGGACATAGATACACAGGAGGAACACAATATGGCAATGGAGACAGAAATTGGAGTAATGTGTTTAAAAACCTGGAAGCACCAGTAGTTGTTGGAAACCGCCGGAAGCTAGAGAGAGGAGGGCTCTTTCCCTACAACTTTCAGGGGGAACATAACCCTGCCAACATTGTGCTGTTAGAACTGTAAGAGGACAGATTTTTGTAGCATTAGCCACCCAATTTGTGATAATTTGTTACAGCACCCCTAGGAAACCAGT